TCTAAAGGGTGTCTTCTGGAAAGATTTTTATAAAATGGCTTCTCATGGAATCTATAAGTTATGAGTCCCTAGCTCTATCACTTTTCCTAGGGCACCAAACTGCCCTTCACCATCCTGTGTATCCCCTGTCAACATACCACCTAGAGTTATAAAACTATAACCTTTGATTTTCTTCTACTACTCTCCAATCTCTGTACCACCTTTGATATCTAGAGTGATTGCAATAAGCCTTTCCAAGTTCACAGTGATCTCTGATGTGTTTAAATCTTAACATAAACAGAAATATTTAATATCATATTTTTTCTAGGAAAAAATTAAATGACTATTCCACATTTACCTTCTAAGACTGTGCCTATACAATAAGGGTGTCAATCCCAGTAGTCACTTGAAAGCAACAAGTTTAAAACCATTTCCATTTGAGGCAATTGGTCCTCAACCCTGGCTCCTCGTCAGAATCACCCACGTAGATTTGCTAATCAGTTCCAGGTCTACCAAATTGGAATATGTAAGTGTGATCTCCCAAATGTCTGTGCTTGTGGTTTAATAATTCTTGCTATAATGAACTTTCAAACACTCCAGAAAGCAAAAAGTGCAAAATAAAAATCTCCTGAAACTTCCTCTTCCCATTCTCACTATCCAAGGGTAAACACCATTTAAAAATTATAAATTATCCTTCCAGAAATATTAGTATATATAATTATAAATATCCCTCCCCAACACACATATTTGAAAAACACATTTATACTATTCTATCACTGGCTTTCTTTGACAGCTTCCATTAACAGCACATATAGATTACTTCATTTTTTCTAAATGTATATAGTTTTATATTTTATGGATGAGTATTAATTTTTAAAAATCTTAACTGTTACAAACATGTCACGTTTTCTTTTTCTTGTATTTTTTGTAACACTATTAACATAGTAGATATTTGTGCAACAGGAGTAAAATTGTTACTTAAGAGATGTCTCTGTACAAGTATGTTGCATGTGTTTGTAATCTTTCCATACTTATGTTTGTGTGTACATATATATAGCGCCATACTTTTAGATATGTATACATATGTTATATATGCTTTTCATATTTATATGAGTTATTGCTAAGTCACTTGTTAAGACATATACACGTCTATATATATACATATGTGTGTATGTTCATACAATGTATACAACATATTTCCCATACTTGTAGATATACCATATATAGCATATATATATACACACATATTTATATAGTGCATGTGTATACAAGTATATTTCTACACATTATCTGTGTACATTTGCATTATTTTATGAATCATAAGAATAAAAAAGGTGAGTCAGAGGAAACATATAAGCACATACAGGAGCATAAATGCACATATAATTTTGATTGATACTATAGTTACCTTTCAAAACAATTACATGAAGTTATAATAGTTAAAAGAGTGACTGTTTCCTAACAACTTTGCCATTCCATTTTCTTTTTGCCAGACTTGTAATTATACAAATTTGGTTTTGTTTACATGTCTTTACATGTGAGATTGAGTATCTTTCATTTATTTTTTGACTATGTGTATATAGACTATAAACTGCCTCATAACTTTGTCTGTTTTCTAACTGGGTTATATTTTTATTGGTTTATTATGTGTTTATTCATATATTTTAGAAATTACTCTTTTGTCATGTATGATCAAAAATTGATTTTAAATATTGCCTATGGTGTCTCTTGTGCCTTTGGGATTGGGATTTGAGCATATGTGACATAGAGAAAAATTTCTCATGAAGTTGTGCTAATCAAGAGTCATAGGGGCAGGAAAACAGGACAAGGAATGCACAATAAGATTTTCCTCTCCTATCCCTGCCTGAGAGGTACTGATCCAAATAGAACATTCTTTTCCTTTATTAAAAGACTCAGAAAAGTGCCTGCCAGATTTTTAGGCCAGTGGAAGAAAACAGAGAAAAGTTCCCACATTCAGTACCTGCCTGCATAAGTGATTCACAATCAACTCACTGGCTGTTGAATCAGGTCTTTGGGAAAACAGAAAGACCAGAAGTCTAAAAATCTTCCTGAAGCTGGTGCAGTGGTAAATGCCTATAACCCCAGCTACTTGGGAGGCGGAGGCAGGAGGATAGGAAGATTGCAAGTTTGAGGACTGAGCAATTTAGTAATTGTGTCTCAAATTTTTTTTTTAAAAAAGGGGGGGAGCTGGGGATGTAGGTCAGTGGTAGGATGCTTATGTAGTGTGCTTGAGACCTTGGGTTCAATCCCCAGTACCACTACAAAAAGTTTTTGTTATTGTTGTTTTTAAGACCTTCCTAATGGTTCCAGTTCTCACACTGTAATGTCCATGTAATGTCCATGATTTAAGCCTGTCTGGACTTTAATATTTTCACCTGTAGGATTATAAATAATCCAAAATTCAAAGGGTCACTATAAGGAAAAAGCAAGTGATTCAAGCACAAGTACATAATACTTTTTAACTCCTAGTTGTTAATTTTTTGAAAAGCACATAACCTAACCAAAAGTTCCTTGGAATTCCAAAAGTATTTGGAATTCCACATATTCTATTAGTTGTTTTGCTAGAAAATCACCTTTATAATTACATTTTGCTTAGACAAATTAAAATTAGAATTTCTCTCCACACCAAAACTGATAGAGAACAGGTGCTAGACAGCAAGGAGAAAACAAAATGGAATTTAAAAGTTAAATTTAAAAAAAAAATTCTTTGAACAGAGAACCTACTATACAACGTGTGTGTGTGTGTGTGTGTGTGTGTGTGTGTGTGTGTGGTGCTGAGGATTGAACTCAGGGCCTTGTGCATGTGAGGCAAACACTCTAAAACTGAGCTATATCCCCAGCCCTATAATCATCTTCTTACTCAAATGGCATTCCTCTGAATAGGGCAACTGCTCTTTTCTTCTGGACAAGTTTCCATAGAAAGAAAACAGTTTAAGCTATACAGGTCCAATAAATACAGACAGATCCCTGAATTAAAATTTGGCTAAGAAACTGAGCCAAACAAGCACAACAAGATAATATGATGGTGAATTATATATGTCAACTTGGCATTGCTGTAGTTCCCAGTTTTGGGGGGTGGGGAAAGCACCAGTCTAAATGTGGCTGTGAAGGTATCTTTTAGATGTAATCAACATTTCAGTCAGTAGATTTTGAATAAAGCATATACAGCCCATAAACTGAATGGGTCTCATCCAACCAACTGAAGGATTTAAGAGAAAAGTCTGAGATGCCTCAAGCCTGCAAAACCCACTCTTTCCTGGGTTTCCAGGCTGCCTGCAAATTAGCAACTTGCCAGCCCCGCCATTTCCTGAATCGATTCTTGAAACAAGTTTCTTACCTATCCTATCCTACCCTAGAGGCTCTGTTTCTCTGAAGAACACTGGCTACTATAAATAACAATTTCAAGAAATGAATCAGGGCCTTCTCTCCTTTCCCCACCGAGATTTGTTACCACAGCTAATCACTTTGTCTGGGTCCAGGAAACTCTTCACTCCTCCATTCTTCTAGAATCCTTAAATTCGATGCTGAATTCAGCAGTATTGTTTCCTGCAGAGGAGTTATTTCTCTGACCTACCCCTTTCTAAAGTGCCCTTCCTCAGCGATCCCTCAGAGTCCCTCTCTCCCATGAAGTTTTTTGAAGAGAATGGTGTCATAGGTGCAGGAGGTAAACCAGGGTCTGATTTTCACCAAGCTTACATTCTACTGGGAGACCGACACCACAAATAACTTTTCACACTTAAATACTGTAAGGAGGGTGGGGCTGCCGTGGTGTGCGGGTGCCCTAAAGGGAAGGCGTTTCTTAGCTGAGATGGTGAATAAGAGACCTGAACGGAAAGGAGCCAGCCTTGAGAAGAGCGAGAGAGAGAACATTCATTTCAGACAGAAGGAGGCAAGTAGCTCCTGCTCTGAGCAAGGTTGTAGGTAAATGATGAGTGAATCCTACCGGAAAAGTGCCTTTGTGAAATCTAGAATTTAAGAGCAACCGTTAAGTCTTACTTCATCCGACCGGCTGGATCTTCAGTCCGGGAGACAGCTTCACCATCAACGTCACGTGACAGGACCAGGGAAAGGGAAAGGAAAGCACCCTGCTGCTCCATTATTGGTCTTTCAGTTACAGAACAGCTTTAGATGGGTGGCTTGGCTATCCCAGGCCCCACTTTCCTCCTCCTTAAAGTGAAGGGATTTGGTGGCTGATACATAAGGACCTGTGAGTTCTTTCTCTAAAGTAGAAATGGTTCCACTTGCCAGGCTACTAGGCCCGAACCCATGAACGGGGGGAGGACAGCCGCTGCGAGGCGGGCCACATTTCCAGGCCTAGAAAGCTGGGCCTAGTCCCAGAAGCTCTTGCACACTTTGGGTCGTCCAGGCCGTGGTTTTTGCCTAAGAGGCTCTGGACAGATCCAGACGGACCGGGACCGCGGGCCCAGGAAGTCGGTCACCCGGTCAGCGCCGCGCGCCTGAAAGCTGCGTCCTGGGCTCGACTTCCCGCTTTCAGAGAGTCGCCGAGCCCGCCTCCGAGCTCCAGACCCCGAACACAGACTCGCCAAAGTGCGCTCTAGGACACGGCGGCTTCTCCGTGCTCTCAGGCCGCTCGGTGTCCTGGAGTCACCCCGTGTTTCTGCGGCTCCTTCCTTTCCTTCCCCCGCTTTTCCTGTCCCGAATGGACCACCGCGGAGGAGAAAGGAGGGAGGCTCTCTAAAATGAAAGAATCGGTGGCGTGGAAGGAAAGAGAGGGCGGAGGGGACAGCCAGCGCGCAGAGTTGTCAGGCAGCGGGAGAGCAGGGTGACGGAGCGCTGGGCGGAGGCGGCGGCGGTGGCAGCTGAACGCTGCAGTCCGCGCCACGCTGCAGTCCTCTCGGGTGCCCGAGCGAAAGCGAGCGGCCCCTGGGGGAGGGGAGTGCGGGAGGAGGAAAGAGGAAGAAGCGCTCAGATTCTCCGCTGTATCTTGAAGCCAAAACCGAAAATAAAAATGGCCTAGATGTAGCGGATTCGGCGCTCACCCTAGTCCGGTAACTCAGGCGACATCCAGTGCTGGTAGGGGAAGGGGAGTCGTGCTCAGCCTGGACCCGGGCATTGGCTCCACCTACCTGGTCCCGAGCCCGGCCTTCAGTATCCAGATGTCGTGTCGGTGCGTGCAGCGGTTTCTTTTAATTTCGCTGTTTTCCCAGATCTAGAAACCGAACGGACGGAGCGGCATTTTCTTTCAAAACTGACATTCAGCCTCCTGATTGGCGGATAGAGCAAAGAGCTGACCTTGTTTTTCTTTCTTTCTTTTTTTCTCTTTTAAATAATCTGATTTGGAAAAAAGGAGGACTCTTGACGCTGGGCGCGAGGGATAAAGGAAGGGAGCCCGGAGCGGCACCCAGCAGGACCGGACCCGCGGGAGCGCGGCGGTTCCTGGTAGGGCCGTGTCAGGTGACGGATGTTGCCAGGGGGCGGGCTGCCTGGAGATGCGTCCAAGCGTCAGGCCCGGAGGCTGCCACCGCGTGGGGCGCCCGTGTTGAGGGTGGGAAGGTGGTGGGGCGGGGGAGCGGTGGGGATGCGGATAAGGCGCGAAAAAGCGGGTAGGCCGAAAGGACAGGAACCCAGGACGCCAGCCGCTCCCGCGCGCGCCTCCCTCTGGGCGCCTCGGCAGCCTTTCCCGCGCGCACTGGGCTCGGAACGGTTCTGCGATCTTGGGCTGTAGGGGGTGGGGGGAGCAATGGCGCGCGCGAGGAAGGAGGGTGCGCGCCTGCGGGGCGGAGATGGGCAGGGGGCGGTGCGTGGGTCCCAGTCTACATTCGGGGGACAGGCGCGGTGCTGCTTACCTCCGGTGCTGAAGGGAGGAGAGGCAGCTGCTCCGTGGCTGTGGCCAGAATATGGTACGCAGGTTCTTGGTGACGGTCAGGATTCGGCTAACTTGCGGCCCACCGCGAGTGAGGGTTTTCGTGGTGCATATCCCGCGGCTCTCGAGGGAGTGGGAAGTGTCGCGTGAGCAGGCCGTGGCGGCCCTCGTGCTGATGCTAGTGAGGAGTCAACGCAGAGGGCAACAATCGCATCCTACAAGACCAGGTAGGAAAGCCCCTCAAAAAATGCTGGGTGTAAAGACACTTGGATGAATTTTGTTTGGTATGATTTAGTACACAGATAAGTTATCTGCACGAGGCGAGGAGGAGGAAGAGGAGGAGGAGGAGGCTATGGGGTTAGGAACGGGACGCCTTTCCCCCATTCGTCTTACAGATGCGGTTCTCCCACCACATTGAGCCCAGAGCCCCCTTCACAGACCTCAATCCTGTGAAACCCTAAGGGGAACCGAAGGGTTCTAAACCCACCTTAGAAGTCAGTGGCTTCTGAATTTCCTCGGTGGAAGTCAATGACACACACACACACACACACACACACACACACACACACGGTAAGGTGTATCTCTAGAGAACTTTCTTTTGCCTTGGGGGAAATTACTGCTAACGGCCTTAGTTTTCTAGAAACTGCCTTTTCTTTTTTTCCCCACCCAGCCTCCAGGCTGAGTGGCCCTCCCCATGTCCAGAAGTGGTGAAGGACAAAAGAGAATGTGGACTTGCACACAGTTTGACTTAATGAAATACTGCCACAAGGAGCAAACACTTGCTTCTTGGGGATTTTGCAGCCCAGAGGGAAATGAGATGGAGGTTTCAGACTTGGCCTATGTGATCAAACTGCTCAGGACAAAGCGCCTGTGGTTAGTTAGCACAAGGTAGAACTACAGTGGTGTCCCTGGGGAATCACAAATACGTTTTTTAATCACGTCAGACCACAATTAACAGAATTATACAATGAGGCCTACTTCTTGAAAAATAGAAGCTATGGAAGTTGCGTCCTCACATGGGATAAATCTTTTATTCAGCCGGTGTAATTTTCTATGACCAGGAAAATTGAATATATAGTTGTAATGGGCAAAACCTTAATTAGAACTCAGAGGTAAAATCTAAAATTAATTTAGTGAGCTTTTATTTTTGTGACCTTCCTCGTGGAATCTCTTCCCCGGAAATACATAGCTCCAAAAAGCAAAAGCTGGTGGAGGGGGGAATTTTTTTAATTGCCATGTCTTTTTGACACGGAACTGAAAAACTGTTTAAACTATCAGGATTTTTTTTCTAATTAGCAAAAAAAAAAAAATCTACAATTTATAGTAAAAGTGCACTTTCTATTTTATTTTTCATACTACTATAAAAGTTAACTTTTTAAAAAATCAGTAGAAGGAGCTTATAAAAATTCTCACAGCTTCTTGCTAGATTTGAATTTTAGGTGATTTTAACACATTCACAAGATTCTGATTATTTTTTTTTCCAATGGTGGGTTTTTTTTTTTTTTGCTGTATCAGCAAATATTTAGCCACTGTGCTATTAAGTTTGAATATAGTTGTTAGTATTATTCTCTTAAAAAACTTGTTTTATTACTCTAGTTAATATTACTCTATAAAATTATTTTATTTAAATTATTAGGATGATTCTAGAAATCTATAATTAGAAAATAGCAAAACTACTAATATTTGTAATTCGCTAATAATGCATTTCTATTTTAGAAATATAAAACATATTTGGCTACTTTAAATTAGAGAAAATATCCATTGTATAGTATATCTGTAGTATAAAATAGAAAAATAGGTTTGTTGAAAGTAACCATTTATTTCTGGATATTTAGGTATAAACCAGTTTTCAGGAACTATGTGTAATGGTGCTTAGGCATTCGTTCACTATGTGAAAGGCCCAGCTTTCAGGAAATATCTGATGATAGAGCACATGGCTTATCGTCTTGAAAAAATGCATAATTTTTCAATTTTCTATGTGAAATTATACACATAATATAAACATCTACAGTATTAATTATAAGTGATATGTAGTTAAATATTTCACTTAAAGTTATATTGATTTAGGAATATATATGGTGCTAATTATGTTGAGAATCATAATTCCTTGAGAGGTACAAGTTGTTAAAAATTACTTGCATGATTATTTAATATCAATAAAATATGTAAGGTGCCATTACTTTAACATAATTTTAAATTATTTGCAAATATGTTCATTATTTTATTTATATATGACTGGAAATGTGTGTCATAAAATTTCACATTGGACAGGAATGTAACTCAGTTATAGCAAATACTTTGAATGCAGGAGAACCCTGAGTTGGATCCATAACAACATACACACTATTGTCTACGTAACTAGTTTCTTATCTACCTATACCTGATGAATTACACTACTGATTTTTTACTTCTACTTTGATGTGTTTAAAAAATTGTCATATTTTTATTATGAAGTTAAATATTTTTTTGCAGAGCTATTAAGGAAGTCTCAGAGTGTTTCGTTTTTAACAACATGGAGTCCTCTCATGGCAAACACTGTGCATTAACCATTACTATCCTGTGTACATAATTCTAATTGGTATTGCATTCTAAATAAACAATAGCTCTTTTAGAAACTTAGACTTCACATTCATTTTATTTCTTTGAGGACTCTTGAATTTAAAACATCTATTGTCATTCTAAGATAGAAATACTATTGTCTGTTGCTGTCTATTTCCTTATTTTACAGGCCTGCATGCTAGTTCATGACTAGTAACTCCTGTGATGGAGTTAAGCTCAGCCATTTTCCTAACATTAGAATAAATCCAGTTAGTAAAATGATACAAATTATCTGAGAAAAAAAATACTTTCTTATTGCAAAATTGACCATTTGGCCTAGCTTTTTCTCTTATAAAACTTCTAGTCAGCCCAATATGCTGGTGCATGTATGTCTGTAATCACAGTGACTGGGGAGACTGAGGGAGGAGGATCACAAGTTCAAAGCCAGCCTGGGAACAAGCCATAACCTGTCACAAAATAAAATAATAAGTGCTGGTGAAGTGTTTGTCTAGCATGCTTGAGGCCCTGGGCTCAGTCCCCAGCACACCAAAACAAAATTTCAGTCCTTTTTGAGAAACATAAAAATCTCACTTACTCCCTCCATATTAAGATGCTGGAGCTGGGTGTAGTGGTGCCTGCCTGTAATTCCAGTGGCTTGGGAGACTGAGGCAGGAAGATGGCAAGTTCAAAGCCAGCCTCAGTAAAAGCAAGGCACTAAGCAACTCAGTGAGACACGAAATAAAATACAAAATAGGGTTGGGGGATGTGGCTCAGTAGTTGAGTGCCCCAGAGTTCAATCTCCTGTACCAAAAAAAAAAAAAAAAAAAGACACACTGGGCCAAACTGAAACTGAAGCTCCAGAGTATAACATCCTAGACACACTATCAGCTGAAAAACCCAACCTGATAAACAAGTTTTTTTGTGTGCTGTATTTCTGAAGTTTAAATTATGCAAACATAGATATTGCTTTATTTTCTAAATACAAAATTATAATATTGAAAATGAGTTTTTCTCTAAATTTGGACTCTGACATACTTATCATTAATATTGCCTCTGCCACCTGATAAGATTAATGCCTTCCTTAAATACTTCACAGGCTAATAATAATAATAATACATTATAATAGTTTCAAGAGCTTTAAAAGTACTCACACTTTCATCCAGCTATTCTTTATCTAGGCATTAAAGATCAGCACAGTGGCCTGTGGGCTCTTGTAATCCCTGCTATTCCCAGCTACTACAGAGGCTAAAGCAAGAGAATGGCAAGTTCAAGGCTATCCTGAGCCACTTAGCAAGATCTTTTCTTTTCTTTTCTTTTCTTTCAGGGAGAGAGAGAATTTTTTAATATTTATTTTTTAGTTTTCGGCGGACACAACATCTTTATTTGTATGTGGTGCTGAGGATCCAACCGGGCGGGCCGCACGCATGCCAGGCGAGCGCGCTACCGCTTGAGCCACATCCCCAGCCCCAGCAAGATCTTTTCTCAAAAAATAAAAATAAGAAAAAGATTTCTTAACATGTGCAAGGCCCAGGACTATAAAAAAGGCAGGGAAAGTTCAATTTCCAGACTGTAAAAAAGGAGAAAAGAAAAACATCAACACAGATGGACAGATAGCTTCAAGAAATTGAAAAATGCCTAAAATTCTGGCAATAAGGTGTTACATTACACGTCAGATAGTCTCTTGAATATTAGAGAATTGTGTTTTGCATAATTTTTAATAGAATATATAATGATTATGTTGAACCGTTTTAAAAGATTCAATAATTATTACTCTTTGCCCCTCCCCTTATTTTCCCCCTCCCCCTTCCCCCTTTCCTCTTCCTCCTGTTTCTCCTTCTCCTCCTCCTCCTCCTTTTTCTTCTGTCTCTCCTTATATTTATCATGGTTTCCTCAGGATGGGGAGGATTTGGATGATATTTAACTCCTTCGTTATACCTTTGAATTTTCCAAAGTGGGTCATCATTAGTAAATATACATTATTTTCAAAGCTTTTGACATTGCAAAAAAAAATTGTACACAACTAAGAGCTTAATTAGCATTAGATGGGTGAAAAGGGAGAAAAGCGAACTGAGTTGTTAAAGTAGGGTGTGTATGAAGGTGACCATTTGAGGGGAAGGGATGAGAGGCCTGTGTGGTATAAAGCGGCAGCTCTCTACCTGTTTTTGCCAAGGTTCTTGGGTGTTGGGCAGTGGTCACAGCCCTCTAGCTCCCCTCGCGATCCCTCACTCAGCTCTTCACGCCCCACCCCACCCAGCACTCAAGTTCGCCGGGCGGGGCTAAACTGAGGATACAGGAGGTGAGTCCCCAACTCTGCTTCTTTAGTCTCTCAGCTCAGACCACCCTCCTAGACCCATACCTTCCGACCCTCTCAATTCTTAAGACCCTTCTGATGCCAGAGATTTAACTGGCAGCAGGGGCAGGACCACCTGCAAGAGTTCAGAGTCTTGATCTACTTACCGCCGCGCTCCAAACACGCACCCCTTTCTTTGTTAGCCTTACTTGGGCCCTGCCTCTCCCCTGTTTAAGCACGTAAGATGTGTTACGAATAACAATAGCTGTTGTCAGGGGTTAGTCGTGGAGCAGGAGGGGGCTTCGCTGGGCAGGGAAGGAGATGGGGCGGTCGTGGTCTGCGTGCGC